GGTCACACAAAATTTTTTTTTTTTTTGCCCCCCCCCCGTTTGTTTCTCAGGGTGATGCTAAGCTAACGCGCTAGGCAAAGCGCTGTCAAGATGCCGACGGACATGGCACTGCCCCTCTTCCTGTCACAGGAGGACTTTGCCTTCCGGAGAAGCCCCCAAGACCGGAGCCCCGCCTCCAGCTGCCATGAGCACACCTCCAAGAAGACCAAGAAGCAGGTGACTTTCGCGGACCATCGAGGCCTGCCCCTCACTAGGGTCAAGGTCTTCTCCCAGTTCAAGGACGCCATCCACATTCCCCACAGCGTCCGCCTCATGCCATCCAACCGGGACGATGACAACGACGAGCTGGTCCTGGATTTTACCCAGCCGGCGTCCGACTACGTCCTCTTCCGCCAGAATCTGGACAGGAAGTGCGTGTGCCTGGAGAACTGCGTGCTGAAGGAGCGGACCCTGGCGGGGACGGTTAAGGTCAAGAACTTGTCCTTCGAGAAGCGCGTGCGGCTGCGTGTCACCTTCGACTCTTGGGAGAGCCACTCGGACGTGGAGTGCGCCTACGTCAAGGACTCGTACCCGAGCGCGTACAGCGACACATTCTGCTTCAGCCTGGCCCTGCCTCGATTACTGGCCCCCCACCGTCACGTGGAGTTCGCCGTCTGCTACCAGGTGGCCGGCGCGGAGTACTGGGACAGCAACCACGGGCACAACTACCGCATCCTCTGGTCCAAGGACAAGCGGCGCCGGGACGGCGATAGCCAATTCGACTTGGGCATTCACTTGGACGCCTTTGGCAGCCTCACCTGCGGACACGGAATCCTCCCAGAGTGGCCCAGCTATGCCAGATATGAGAATGTGGGACCTTACTACTGAAGGGGGCTGCAACCTGAGCAGAAGGGCAGAGGTCACCGACATGCTTTTCGCCATGAAGAACAAACACAGATGAATAGAAAAACAAAACGCTGCTAGGTGATGTCATCACGTGACATTTGTGTGGTCTTTTAAATAAAACATGTTGAATGTTTTAAGCGAACGAAAAGCTTTTTTGATAATAAAGACGAGCTCTTTTAAATGTGTTGGAGGAAGTCCACCAGATTGCCCACTGTTATATTTTCCTTAGAATTGTTTTTACTTGTTGAAAATAAAACTTTTGAAGTTATTGCTTCTGAATGAACTCCAAGGTTATTAGTAGTGATGTTAACGAATTATGTCGAAGCGTGTATCAAGTAAAGAAGGGAGCGTTTCCACACTTCAGGAAATGATTCAGACTGTTGCACAAGGTTTGACAGAAATATAAACCGCTCAGGCATGGGCTTCGTTCAAAATAACTGTGTTTTGATAGTCTTGGCCAGCTGAGACGGAAAGCGTTGTAGTCGCGATTAATTTGGAGGTAGCTTGGCTGCGCGAATGTATGGTCAACACTCCACACTCTATCTTCTCACCACCACCACGCTCAAACGGTAGCCGAACATCCGTCCAATTGTTGAAAAACCAACAATGACTCCCAGGTGACGTCATTTCCTACTTTTGATCGACAATGACACGCGAAGACCACGAGAGGGATGCAGTAAATCACAGTATGTTTTCTGTGGCACATTACATAACTGCATTCGACGTGGTATAAAGTTATAGTGTAACGTTTTTCATGCCTCCTCATTCAAGTGGTCGAATTACGTTCAGTAAAAGTCGTGAAAATCGTATTCAAATGAAAAGTTTGAGATAACATGAAGTCGTAAAGCGGACACACAATTAGAATTTGTAAAAAGTTCATAAAGACGTCAATGACACAAGGATAAGTATACGTCACGTACTGAGAAATAACAAAACGTGGAAAATTGGAATAAAGAATTAAAATGCGCAAATATGAAGTAGATATTATCAGTAAAAGTGATGTAAGATGAAGTGAAATGGAAAAGAAGTAATATAATGGTATGAAATCAGTATTTAATTATGTAGCGGCTTAGATTTTTTTTGCACGTCAAGACGTCGATGACAGTTGACGTGGTTCGTTATCGTTGTCATGTGTGACGTTGCCGAGGACAACGTCACGAACCAAAATTAATTTAAAAAAACGACAAAACTAAATCAAGAATGCGAATGATGTCGAATCAAAATATGTAAACAGGAAGTAGACTTTCCTTGTCTCCTCCTCCTGTAGGCGGGGCGGGGATGATGACGACGACTTCCTCACTTTCTCCGCAGCAGCAGGAAGAGAGACGGAGGAAGAGAAGAAGAGGAGGAGTATCCTAGTAGGAACGCGTCTCAGCCGCCCTCCGCCATGCCGACGCGGACCCTCAGCTTCGTCGTTCTTCGTTTTCTTTTTCTCCTTCCGTGACCGCCGCCAAACATCAGCGCCACGGCGGCCATGAAGCCCCGCCTCCTTCTCGCTCAAGGCGTCCCCGTTTCCCGTCAGCAGGCTACTCGCGCGGAGGTTTGGGAGATGAGGGGCAACCCATGAGGACTCTGAATGAATGCCGACGCGGACCCTCAGCTTCGTCGTTCTTCGTTTTCTTTTTCTCCTTCCGTGACCGCCGCCAAACATCAGCGCCACGGCGGCCATGAAGCCCCGCCTCCTTCTCGCTCAAGGCGTCCCCGTTTCCCGTCAGCAGGCTACTCGCGCGGAGGTTTGGGAGATGAGGGGCAACCCATGAGGACTCTGAATGAAAAAAACAAGGACTGGGCGGAGGGGGAGGGTGAGCAAAGGCGAGGAGACGGGCCGCCCCCCCTGGAGAACAATGTTAAGGCGGCCCAGCTGTGGCGGGACGCCGCCCTCCGCTCCAGGAAGCTGCGCAGCGACCTGCGCCAGCTGCCCCCCTATCCCAAAGATGCGGACCTGTCCCACGTGGAGGCCCTGAACCTGGGCAACAACCTCCTGCAAGAGCTACCCGAAGGCCTGGCATCCAGTCTCAACAACCTGCGTGTGCTAGTGCTGCGCAGGAATCACTTCTCCACCGTGCCGTGCGCCGTATTCGAGTTGAGGCAGCTGGTGGAGTTGGACCTCAGCCACAACCGACTACGGGCTGTGGCGGAGGGCCTGGGCCGACTGAGCACGCTGAAGAAACTCAGTGTTAGCCACAACAGCATTCAGCAACTACCTGAGCACATCGCCGCTTTGGAGTTTCTGGAGGAACTGGACGTCAGCTTCAACGACCTCCATGACATGCCCGCGTCCTTCTGCGGCCTCGCCAGGCTACGCACGCTGGACGTGGACCACAACAAACTGAGCAGGTTCCCTCCTGAGATCCTGGCGCTGGGCGACTTGGAAGAACTGGACTGTTCTGGAAACAAGTTTGAAGTTTTGCCAGAGGATGTGGTGAAGCTGAAGAGTATCAAGATATTGTGGCTGAGCAGCCTCCACTTAAGGTTCTTACCAGACACCTTCTGCCACCTGCAGAACCTGGAGAGCCTAATGCTGGATGGGAACCACCTGGCTACGCTGCCGGAAGCTTTTGGCAGCCTGCAAACTCTCAAAATGGTCAACTTGTCCTCCAACCAGCTCACGGATTTCCCTGAAGTTCTTCTGGACATTTCGGGGCTGGAGGAACTCTATCTGAGCAGGAACAAACTGACTCAGGTTCCTCAAGAAATCGGACGCTTGCAGAACCTGGCCAATCTTTGGCTGGATAACAATGAGATTGCGTACCTGCCTGAGTCCTTGGTGGACCTGGCGAAGCTTGAGGAGCTGGTTCTCCAGGGCAACCAAATTGCCGTTCTTCCTGACAACTTTGGAAAGCTGTCCAAGGTAAACATCTGGAAGGTGAAGGACAACCCACTGGTCCAGCCTCCATACGAAGTGTGCATGAAGGGCATCCCGCACATCGCTGCCTATCAGCAGAACTCGCCCCACTCGCAGCTCGAAACCAGGCCCAGACTCAAACTGGTCCTGCTTGGACTGAACGACGCCGGGAAAACCCGACTGCGGCAGAGCCTGCTGAGCGAGAGCAAAGGCGAACACCCAAGCGAAGGAATCCAAATCACCAGCTCGCTGAGCGAGGGCGGCCTGACCTTCCTGGTGTACGACTTGTCCGGAAAGCAGAACCTGGACCTCGTGAAGCCCTTCTTCTTGTCCCCGTCTGCGCTCTACATCCTGGTGGTCAATCTCCAAGCCTACTCTCCGTGCAGCTTCTACACCCATGTAGGCTACTTCCTGCACCTGCTCGGTGCCAAGGTGCCCCAAGCTGTGGTCCTATTGGTGGGCACGCACGCCGATCTGTGCGGGGAGGCGGAGCTGGAAGAGAAGAAGTTGGACATCCATCGTCAGGTCGGTTTGCAGCAGAGGCGGGACGTCCAAGTTCTTCAGAGCTTAGCGCTGAAAGTGGAGCAGGCGTTGCAGCAGGGGTACTCCGTGCGCGCCTCCCATCCTCACGCCTCATTTTACGCCGTCTCCGACACGAACCTGCGGCGGAAGAAGGCCCGGGTGCGGTCTCTTCTGGACAGGCGGCTGCAGATTCTGTCCCCCTTGCTAAGCGTCGGCTGCGCGCGGACCGACCGGACTGATATCCAGCACCTCAGGGAGAAACTGACATCCGTGGCCCAGCACCCGGACATCTTCCCCGACCTGTACCGGGTGTTGCCCAGGTCGTGGCAGACGCTGGAGGAGCTGCACCTCAAGTCCGAAAAATTGTGGTTGACCCGGTGCGACTCAGCGCGTCTGGGCCATCAGGTGGGGCTGACGGAGGAGCACCTGCAAAGCGCTCTGTCCTACTTGCACCGGAGCGGGACGCTGCTGCACTTGGAGGACAGCCCCGCCCTGAAGGACTACGTCTTTCACAATCCACCGCGCTTCCTCGCCATCATCAATGTTTTCTTCCAAAGAGACGACTCGGCTGCGGCGGCGGCGGGGGAGGAGTCCCGGCAGGTTGACGAGGAAGCCGAGAAGCTCGTGGCAACCCAGCTCCAGCGTCACTTGGATGCTTTCCATAGCCACGGCCTCCTCCCGTCCTCCGCCATCCTCCAGCTGATGCGGCCTCTCATCCAGACACGACAGGACGCGGACGTGATCTTGGAGCTCCTGGACAAAATGGGCGTCTGCTACTGCGTCAACAAACCCCGCGCAGGCAAGCCCTTGAAAGGTGGCGCCGAGCTCTGGTACAAGTTCCCCGGACACGTTGACGTCAAAGAGGCGCAAGCCGACGGGACCTCAGAGACTGAACCCGACATCAGCTTTGAGATAGAACCCAACAGGAGCTCAGAGACGGAACCCAACAGGGCCTGGGTGCCACCGAGTCCGCCTTTCACCGCAGAGCAGCTGCAGATCCGGTACAGCTTTCCCTTCCTGTTTCCGCCCGGGCTCTTCGCCCGCTTTTCCGCCCGGATCAACAGGCACGTGGTCCAGAGGTTGGACGACCGGCGCCGCATCCGGGCGTACCGAGGCAAAGTCCCGGTGGTCATCAGCCACCGGCCCTCGACGGGGAGGCTGCAGGCCGGCACCCTGTCGGTCAGCAGCCGCGCCGCGCTACCCAACATGTGGACGGCATGGCAAGCCGTCACGCCGCTGCTGCGCGAGCTGGACGCCCTCCTCGAGGACTGGCCTGGTCTGCTCTACCACAAGCACATCCTCTGCGCAAAGTGCCTGCGAAGAGGTTCGAGCAGCCCACACGCCTTCCCCGGTAAGAAACAAAGGACTCAGCTGGCTAAGATAATCCGACCGTTTGCCAATTGTAGTTGACTTTATTTCACAAATACTTATTGTGACTTTTTTTTTTCTTAATCTTGCCGCTCATACTCCATATACAGCCAGGTTTCCAAACTACGGCCTGGGGGCCATTTGCGGCCCACCATTCATTTTTCAGCTGCTCGTGCCATGACCCCCCAAAAAAATCAACTAAGAATAGCATTTCTCACACACACACACACACGCGCACACACACACACACACACACACACACACACACACACACACACACACATAGGAGTAGGTAGACTTTTTTAGAGCCACTGTAAACATTAGGGAAGGCGTAAATGAGAACAATAGTTCAAATAACTAGTAGCCACGTGTCATTGATGGCAAGTCAATCCTGTTACAGCAGCATGCCTTGATCCCCCAACACACACACACACACACACACACGCACGCAGGATTTACGTGTCACGTGCACACATGCGCAGCCGGTTTTTAATGTGTTGCAATGCGGCTCACGTGTGCGTCCGCGAGGTCATGTGGTTAATGATGTCTGTTTTCTTGATCATGTCAAACGTGTTGCTCACTCACACACAAACACTTACATGCTCATATGTAGACACACATGCAGAAGTACACACATACAGGCACTTTATGACCCCGTGTATGCATGTATACGCATTTCAGGAGAGCTTCTGTCCCAGCGACGTCCGGAAGGCGTGAGCGAGCTGACTTGTCCCAAGAATTCTTCCGAGCGAGTGAATGTGGCTTTGGTCTACCCGCCCACCCCCACAGACACGCCCCCGACCACGCCCACCATGATTTCCCCAAAGTGACTCTGGCTCTCACCCAAGAGACCCCGACCTTCGCTGACACACCCTGGTACAATTTTTTTGGGGCACTGAATAACCCAAAAACAAGTTTCAACAACACTTTGTGTTTGTGAACGCTTGGAGTGTACTTCCCAATGCATCAATTATGTTGTCAGGAGAGCGAACATACACTTGTGAGCATTTCCGCTGGTATGGCGAATGTTTGTTAGTGTGTTTACCGAGTGGTCACATCATATTTCTGAGTCTGCACTTTATCACATGTTCATTTTGTGTCGATTTCAGGTTGCTGGTTTGCTGGGAAGGCCTTGGGAGTGGTTTCTCAGGAACACCACATGAACATGTTGGACTGCTGAAAACATGCTCGGATATGATTGGATCCATTCCGGATGCGCTTGATGAGGCTTGCCGCGCCCCACAATGCAATGCGACTATTTATTCTTCAGCTAGCTGTCAATCGATCCATCAATCAGTCATCACGTTTTGTGTCCAAAGATGAGCAAAGTTGCAATAATTTGATTTTGTGTGTGTCTGGAGTCAACGAGATATAATCTTGTTACCGTGGCAACACATATGACAGACTCTGGGGGTCCCCTGATGGACGACATCATCAAACTGCGACTCGCATTTTCATGTAAATAAAACCTTTATTTTTCTACACAAGGCAAAGAGAGGCACATGAATAAAATAAGAAATAAATAACTCAATCACCACTTCACTGACTCAAATTTTCGTGTTTTTCAAGACACACGGCAACAAACTATGGAAACATATATACTGTACAGTATTTTATTTTTTTTAATATTGGTGCAGGAAGTCTGTTTATATAAAAAAATACATGTGTGTCTATGCATTTTCGGGTTTGGAGGAGCCAAACCCACAAATTTCTTTTGCCTGGGTGGTTTTGCCACAACCATTGAGTGAGCCTTATTTCCAGATCTGCAAGATGGCAACCCTAAATGTAGGTAACTTGTCAATTTAGGGCAGTTGCATCTGATAGTAAATGCTCGGCAGTGTCAAATATTGCACGTCCTTATTCGGCAACATTATTCACACAAACATAATATACGTCCAATTTTAAAACAAGTATGATTCATTGTTTGTCACACTAATATAGTCAAAGAAGTTTGAAGTTGTGTTGTCCTCCAGCCGCCAGGGTGCGCTGCCAATTAAATGGCGCACAAGAGCCTAGCTGTGGCTCCGCCTCTTCCTCTTTCCGTCGCGGTCTCTTCGGTAAGGACGACTAACCGCTGAGTTGTCACCCAATCCGTCTTAAATCTTCGGAAAATTGGCAGAATCCTTTCTTGTAAACTGCCTCGGTTTGTTTGCAAGACGCAAACGCACCATTTGGCGTCACAATTTTGTGTAAAATGTTACAATTGTGGCTGTAAATTTAGAATTTCGTGAAGGGCCGCCATGTTGGCTGCCTCCGCACTCGATTGATTTCGTCCACGTTCCATGTAACCGGTTAACCTTTCTTTGAAGCTTCTCTTCGCTACCGTACGACGTTTTAGGAAAAGAACATTGTTCTCCGTTGTGCGTCTTGTGCTAAAACGTTTGCCAAGTCGATGAAAGTCGTTTACCTGCACTACGGGGTAACTGTGCTGCTGAGTGGATGGCGGAAGTGTCTCACCCGGTTTGTCCCTTTTTTCCTCCAGAAGTCTGAAAATGGTCCGCTACTCTCTGGACCCCGAGAACCCCACCAAGTGTGAGTATTTGCAAAAGACTTTTTAAATTTTTTTTTCCCCCATTCCCTCCAAGTAAGAGGCGCGCTGATGACTCCTTAGGACACCTTTGGATTCCCATGAAAACAACTGTGATGGCTGAGCGCCTTCAAAATCATTTAGCTGCATACCTTCAACATAAAACAAACTCTTTGCTCACGGCACTTTTTTGTCTCCTAGCATGCAAGTCGAGGGGATCCAACTTGCGAGTCCACTTCAAGGTGAGACCCGACATTAAATCTGGGCAATCCCCCTCCAAGCATCTCAATTCTAATCACGGCAGTGCCTCAAGTAGTTAAAAGTGCATCCCTGTTGATGTGCACTGCCTTCACTAACAACATGACTATGGTCAGGGACTTCAGTTGACTGAAGATTTTTTGTAATGTGTTGCAGAATACGCGCGAGACCGCTCAAGCTATCAAAGGCATGCACATCCGTAAGGCCAACAAGTACCTGCGGGATGTCGTGGTCAAGCATCAGTGCGTCCCGTTCAGACGCTACAACGGCGGCGTGGGCAGGTGCGCTCAGGTAAGTGAGGTGTGGGCTCCGCAGTGACGGCGGCCGCTGTGATGACCTTCTTAGGACACCTTTGGATTCACCATGAAACAAAACTCGTGTCTGAGCGGCCGCCCGTCCACGCGCATCCAGTCGAGTGTTGCGATTTCATGATTTAGTTACGTGTTTTATTTTCTCATTCAGGCCAAACAGTTCGGTTGGACACAAGGCCGGTGGCCCAAGAAGAGCGCCGAGTTCCTGCTGCACATGCTCAAGAACGCTGAGAGCAATGCTGAGCTCAAGGTTGGTTGCCGCGGCAACAGCACGTCCTTCTTGATAGGCTTAGTGGGCTGGTAGAGTAATGTATGCATTTTGCAACTTGAAGGTACTGTTACTTGAGTGGCTCCTTGACTGTTACAGTTACAGATGTTAGTTACTTGCCTGTCAGTGACGTCAGCAGTTAGTCGATGTGGACTTTCTGAAAATGGGTCGCGGCGAGCAAAGGTGGTGATGTCGCGGGGTGTGTGCGCAGGGTCTGGACGTGGACTCGCTGGTGATTGAGCACATCCAGGTGAACAAGGCGCCCAAGATGAGGCGACGCACGTACCGCGCCCACGGCCGCATTAACCCCTACATGAGCTCGCCGTGCCACATCGAGATGATCCTCACCGAGAAGGAGCAGATCGTCCCCAAGCCCGAGGAGGAGGTGGCGCAGAAGAAGAAGGTTAGCCCGCCGGCGCCACCAAGTGGATGCTCCGTTTGCCGCAGCGCTGCCTCGATTTACGATGCCCGTCGTGTTTTTCAAGATTCTACATGGATTTTCAGGGATCATTTTAAATGCATTTATTTTATATTTGTCTTGCGGTGGACAGATAAACCGTATATTAAAAGAAAATGTCGAATGAAGCATTTTTTTAAATAACAGATTTTCCATAGGCTAATTAGCACAAACTGGATGTAAAATAATTTTTTAAAAAAGCCAGTCAAAGTAAACATTTTCTTGGGCAGGGGGCGCGCGCGGGGGTGGATTTTTACTTTGATCTCGGTAAGAAAACGTAAGTCAAGGTGGCGCTGTTGTGTTGCTGTGATGACTACTTAGGACACCTTTGGATTAACCAATGAAAACACTCGAAAGCTCTGAGCAACACCACTGCAACTGACGTGTGATGATGTCATAACACCCAGCATGTTAACGCTTGTGTTTTTGTGTGTGTGTGTGTGTATGTTCAGGTGTCCCAGAAGAAGCTGAAGAAGCAAAAGTTGATGTCACGCGAGTAACTTGCAATAAATAGAAAACCTTCTTGCCACCAAGTTCTTCTTGTGCTTGTCCATTTTGTCCAGTCAAATCGAGTTTTTCATGCAAGCTTTTGGAGGAAAGAAAAAAAAAAGTCACCGACCCCTGAAGCACTTTTCCACTGACCTTCCTGCCATGTGGTGATGTCATCGTGATGTTTTACGGTTAGTGTCAAAAGTATTAAAACGCTTCCGTGGGCTCCAACCACAAGAAAAGTTGAAAGATTTCGCATCTGGGGTTTGCAAATAGACAAAGCCACCTGTCTCATATGTAAAGCGAGTGGGGCAATCGAATAAAAATATTGACTTCACCTGAACTTAATTGTCCTGGATAGGTGAAAGTGGGTTCACTGCACACATGAAGGGAAAATGCAATGTTGAGACTTTTATTCTGAAGCAAGTGTCATACTTTGATGGATTGATTTTGATATAAACATCTTAACATTTTTGAGCACGTCCTCCGTCGTCACCATCGTTTTACAATGAGGGGATAAAACATATTGTCATGACTTTAGAACTTATTCTGAGGGAAAGTCATCCTGTTTTGACTTGAAGACTTTTATATTGAAGGGTTCCCGTCCCATAATGCTTTCATTCATGTTGGACTTGACTTATTTTATGTCCTTTGATGACTTCAAATGTCAAGGTAATTCATCCTGTCCTGTCATGACTTGGGAACTTTTATATTAAAGGAAAGTAATTCCATAATAATTGTAAGGCTTTTATTTTGAAGGACAGTGATCCTATAATTATCAAACTCTTACTTTGAAGGAAAGTCGTCATGTAATCTTTTGATGAAAAAAATGGTCCTGTGATTTTTATTATGAAGTGTGTCCTAAAATGAGTTGAGCATGAAAACCACCCAAAGAGTCGAAATGAAAGGTTATCTTTGATGTTGATTTTGACTTAAGCAGAGAGATGAGGATTCAGAACGCTTTCGAAATAACATCAAATCAAGGATTTCTCATTGACCAATGACGGAGATGACTTGTCCTTATATTTTTCAGTAGTGACACTTTTTGAAATAAAAGACTTTGATTGCGCTGCATGGTCCGCTCACGGTCTGTCCACCCAACAACCACCAAAGAACGAGGACGATTTCGGATGCTTGGAAAGATGTAGTGACAGCACGTGGACACCAAGCGGCGCTGCTGCATCACAATGGCGAAGAAACGTGAGCACAGCAAATTATTTCCATCCAACTTCACTTTCGTCGCCGTCGACGTACGACGTTACACACTGTCCAACCTCGACACGATTTTATTTTGAAGGGAGCCTGTCTGTCCAAGGTGTCACTCGTATAAAGTCCCCTGGGGGCGACTCCAGTTCAGTGTAATGACCTGAAAAGTTTGACTTTGCACGAAGCATGCCCTACAACAACTTTTATTTTGAATAAGACTATGCCTGTGAAGACTTGACTTTTATTCTGAAGGAAACTTCTCCAAGTCACCCGATGAAACTCTTTTGAAGGAAGCAGGCCCTACACAATGATTGAAAGACTTTCATTTTGGAGGAAACAATCTAAATAATGACTTCAAAATTGTTAGTTTGAAGCAAGATCAGCCTGTATTGGTAACCTTATTTTGAAATAATCCTCTGATGAACTTCATATAAAAGGAAACACGTCCTGTTATGACATTTATTTTGAAGGAAACCCGCCGTTTCCTGACCTGGTCATTTTCATTTTAAAAATGTGCTCTGAACAGTGACTTGATGACCTTTAGCCGTTCTACAGTGACTTTATAGAGCCTAATAACTTTGCATTGGGAAGGAAGTACATCATGTTATTAACTTTTATTTTGAATGTCCCCCGTCCAGTAATGAGTTTCCGCTTGTCTGCTTAATGACTTTAGTCGATGCTGATACTGATCACGTTACTGATACTGATTGTATCACGTGACGTCAGGTGGAGGCGGTCCAATCAGCGCGGAGGAGCGTAAGAAGTAGCTCCCCTCCTCGCCGCTTCGTCCCCCTCCCCTCCGCCCCTGGGAGGCTCCAGGACGTCACTTTCCCAACTTGTTGAAGGAGGCCTCATCTCCTCTTCTGCGTTCTCCTGCTCCTCTCCGCCCCACCGCCACTACACCCCCGCCCCCACCCCGAGCCGCGGCGGTCGCTCGCGCAGCGGGCCGGGGCGCGGGCAGACTTTGCCCCCGTCGTCGGCGCAGGCAGGGAGCGGGTGATGTTCGCGGCGAGTCCCGGGATGCAGGACACCTCATGCCGCCTCGGCGGCTTCTCGCCTCCTCGCCTCACCCCCCCGCTGGCGGCCCTGCACAGCATGGCAGCCGACGTGCAGACCCCACAGTCCCGGCCCCGGTCCCGGTGCCAGTCCCAATCCCAGTACCCGGCCTACCCGCTGCCCTCCGCCGGGGCGCCCGCAGCCGCCTCGTCGTGCGCTTCCCCGGCCACCACTTCCCCCAACCCGGGCGGCATGGCGGCGGCGTCGTCGCCGGGCCTCAAGTCGACCGGCCTGGGCTCGCCGCAACTGTGCTCGTCGGCGACGCCCCACGGCATCAACGACATCCTCAACCGGCCCAGCGCGGCACCTTCCTCGGCCGCCCTGGGGGTCCTGAGCGCCCTGCCTCCGCGTTTCAGCAGCCTCAGCCCACCGCCGCCACCTACACCTCAGCCGCCCTCGGCCGGACTCTACTTCTCGCCCGCGGCCGCCGCCGCCGCAGCAGCAGCCGCCGCGGCCGCCGCTGCCATGGTCCGGTACCCCAAGCCACTGAGCGACTTGCCCGGCAGGACACCCATCTTCTGGCCGGGGGTCATGCAGGGGCCGCACTGGAGGGACGCGCGCTTCGCGTGCTCGCCCCGTGAGTCTTGCCTCTACTTGCGCATTGTCTCCATTATTATTATTATTGTTCTTATTATTATTATTGTTATTATTATTATTATATACTTTTTTGAGTGTTCTCATTCTATTCTTTATGAATAGCCGAAATAGTTTAAACAGGACGGCTTCTAACATTTTAAACTCTCATTCTAATAATTTACGACCAAATTCAATATATTGAGTACACTCACATTTTTCTTTTTAATTCATCGTGTATTAATGTTTCCCAAAAGCTACATTACAAATGATAATAAAAATGTAAGTCGTTATTGTAATGTTGAATTCCAAATGATGACCAAATTCATCAGTACATTTCGTTATTTTTTCTTGTTCTTAATTATCATGGAAACTGAAAATCTTTTCCGCCATTATTTTTATAACCCCCGCCCCCCCCCAAAAAAAGAAAGTGTGTTTGAGGGGACACGTGTGCGTTGTTCTCGGGAAAAAAAGGAAAGTGATGATGAATATCAACATGTTATTTTAAAATTGTAGTGATGATGATCATTAATAATTAGTCATAATAAAACGACAAAGTTAGGAAATAGCTAATGTGTTGTTTTTTTTTTTTTTTACAAGTTATTAATTCTGATTTGTTTGAAGGCTGCTGAAAGGAAAGTGAAAATGATGGCGATGGTCGTGAAAAGTTGTTAAATTGTGTATTATTATTCTACATAATAATAAACTATAAAGGTGATGGTGCTGGTGCTCCAAATAGCTTTTTTAAATGTTTCTTCATCGTAATAACTTTTTGGACACCAGAGCATTTTGCTGGATGAAAATTTGGACATTGACAATGACGATGATGATAGGAAACACTTGTTCACATGGTAATCGTCATCATCATCATCATCATCATCCTAATAACAACGATGGATTTAAAAATGTGTACTTATTTCAAGGTTTGGAAATTGAGATTTTTGTTATTGGAGGACAAAAGCAAGAAATAATTTTCATGATCAAGAGCGACATGAATGATCATGTCGTAAAAGACCATTAAAATTTTTTTTTTTTTTACAAATATGAATAATACTACGGTGTTCTGTTTTGGAGTAAATCAAAAGTTTGTGATTGATGATGCTGCACATCCATCCTCATAATAATGCCGTTAATCTCCGCGGGGGGGCAAATATTTCACTGATGAGAATGATGATGATGATGATGATGATGATCACGATGATGTTTTGTCGTGTTTTTTTTTTTTAAACGTTTCAGAGCAGAGTTGTGTGGTGGTGGACGGCAAAGACGGCAAGCGCAAACACACGCGGCCAACTTTCTCCGGACAGCAAATTTTTGCTCTGGAAAAAACTTTTGAACAAACCAAATATTTGGCGGGACCCGAACGAGCGCGACTCGCTTTTTCTCTGGGGATGACCGAGAGCCAGGTCAAGGTAAGCGTTACACGCAAAAAAAAACCCAAAACATAATTCCTTATCATAGAGTGTCCTTATTTAACCGGAGGAGCTGAAATGTCATCATAAATTAAGAATGTCAAAATATTTATTCGAATTAGAATTATGGTTGTGCAAATGAGGACACGTGTTTTGATGTCGTGGTCGCACAATAGTCCAATTATGCAATAATAGTATTGTATAATGATGACTATTAGCCATGCTAATAATAATCATAATAATAATAATAACAATAGTTCCTTTGTGTGGTTGTGTGAATTGTATGGATTTGCGCGCGTGTGTGTGTGTGCGTGTGTGTGCGTGTGTGTGTGTGTGTGTGTGTGTGTGCGTGTGTGTGCGTGTGTGTGTGTGCGTGTGTGTGTGTGTGTGTGTGTGTGTGTGTGTGTGTGTGTGTGCGTGTGTGTGTGTGTGTGTGTGTGTGTGTGTGTGTGTGTGTGTGTGTGCGTGCGTGTGTGTGTGTTTTGGTACTAAGGTAACACCGAAGGAAAGATGCTGTTGAAGAGATGGTGGGTTGGCGGTTTGGTTCCAGCTGAAAATTTGTCACCAAAACTGAAAGACTCCATGTTTTTCTTCAATAATGACGATAATAATAAAAAAAGGTGTGTGTGTGTGTGTGTGTGTGTGTGTGTGTGTGTGTGTGTGTGTGTGTGTGTGTGTGTGTGTGTGTGTGCCAGGTGTGGTTCCAGAACCGTCGCACAAAATGGCGGAAAAAGCACGCGGCCGAGATGGCCTCGGCCAAGCAGAAGCAGGACTCGCAGACGGAAAGATTAAAGGTCAGCACGGACTTGGAGGACGACGAGGACGACGACGACTACGACAAACCCTTGGACCCTGACCAACCCCCCCACCACCAACACCACCACCACCAACACGACCCATCCCACCTCAACGGCCTCCTCCATAAGCACGCGCTCGTCGTCGTGCACGCGCCTGAACGAGGCGCTTCATCCTCCTCCTCCTCCTAAAAAAAAAACAAAAAAAAGAACAGAAACAAAAACTTTTTCATTTCGTTTGACTTGTAAATACTTTTGGGACTGTAAATAGAAACACACAGGCCCTCTTTTATTATTATTATTATTATTATTATGATTACTATGACGATGATTATTGTTATTACGATAATTATTCTTAAAAACTTCAAAATAAAATAGGACCTCAAAAAAAAAAAAAAAAACAGAAACAAAAACTTTTTCATTTCGTTTAACTTGTAAATACTTTTGGGACTGTAAATAGAAACACACAGGCCCTCTTTTATTATTATTATTATTATTATTATGATTACTATGACGATGATTATTGTTATTACGATAATTATTCTTATGAGCGTACAGACACGTGGACGCAACACGTGATTCAATTTAATTTAATTCATGTAACGTCAGCACTTTCACTCAATAAACAGTCTTTACTACGACTAACATTATCATCATTGTTCTTAAATATGATTATTAACATGATCAAATAACATGACTTAAATTCGAATTATCCGAAAAATCGTGTTTGCGCCACTGTGCCTTCGATTACTGTATATGGTTATTATTATTATTATTATCATTATTACACAATATTGCCAGATGATTATTTTTCAAAATGAAATATACTTATTAGGGATAAACGATGGACCATTTCACGCTCCCCAAAAAACTTTGCTGAAGTGTACATTTGATTCATTTTTATATTCTCATTCACTCCCCCCAAATCAATTTAGAAATAAAGTGGGAGCAACTTTAAACATAATGCTGCGGATCATAATAATAATAATAATAATAACGTCAAGTTTGAACTTCGATTGACGCTCTACTGACCTCATCAGGTCACGGCCATGAAAAGGGAATATTAAATCCTTTATTCTGAAGGTGTCCTCAAACGCTTTGAATTCCATTTGAAGGGTTAGACATGACGTCAACAGCACCTCCTCCCACTTAACTGCATCAATTTGACGTCAATGACTTCAAATATCAAAACTTCAAACAAAGTCATACAAGAAAAAAAACATGCTCATATTGTTGTATTTATCTATTGATTATTTTTGCATTTAATAAGAAATGCAAAATTGCAATACCAAAATGTTAAAAAAGTGAGATTTAGGATGAATTACATAAAACATTTGTGATTGTGTAGGGGGAGAAAAAGTTATTTAAAAAGCATGAATGGGTTCGTAAATACTTCAGAGTAATGAATGA